CTGAGTTTTTAAAAAGGTTCTAAAGAATAACTGAATTTCTAAAAAGGTTCTAAAAAGAACTGAGTTTCTAAAAAGGTTCTAAAAAGGTTCTAAAAAGGTTCTAAAAAGTAATTGAGTTTTTAAAAAGTAACTGAGTTTCTAAAAAGGTTCTAAAAGTAGCTGTGTGTTTCTAAAGACGCTCTATTCACTCGCATACTGCTGGACATCTGTCTGCGCTGTACAGAATAAGGGCTGAATAGATAAACTCACATATTCACACTGCGTCCAGTGAGCTCAACACTGGTCTCTGCATGGCACACTGAGCTAATGACCTTCAGTCAGACCACGCTGGAAAAGGAAGAAAGCAGGAACAGAGCCGGAAATTGGACATGCAACATTGAAAGGAAAGAATGGGAGCGAGAAGGGAAGAATGTGTTTGGACCTCCTGTCTTTGTTGCCCAAAGCTGAAGTTTTCAAAGGAACTCGGTCACATTTAGACCCAAAACCCTCCTCTGAGCCCGGCAGTAACGCCTCTGATCCAACCATCCATTCAGCAGGAACTCCTAAATGAAAATGCTCTGGTTGGGGCCTTTAGTTCATGAAAGCATTCAGACACACAGACGGCACTGTCTTTTTTTCCTGCTGCTTCCTGTAATGACACACACACAGACCAAATCTAAATGAATCATGATAATATGTAAAAAAGGAAAAAGAAATAATGAGTGTTTCTAAAAAGGTTCTAAAAAGTGATTTTCCAAAAAGGTTACATAAAGCAATGAGTGTTTTTAAAAAGGTTCTAAGAAGTAACTGCATGTTTCTAAAAAGGTTCTACAAAGTAACTGTGTGTTTTAAAAAAAAGGTTCTAAGAAGTAACCCACAGTTATTTTTAGAACCTTTTTAAAACACTCATTACTTTTTAAAACCTTTTTAGAAACCCACGGTTATTTTTTAGAACCTTTTTGGAAACCAGTTACTTTTTAAAACATTTTTTGAGAAACACCCATTACTTTTTAGAAACTTTAACATTTTTAAAACATTTCTTTTTTGAACCATGCATTTTAAAAACACTCAGGTACTTTTAAGAACCTTTTTAGAAACAGTGTAATGTGTTGCTTTTAAAGAGTCACATTCCTCAACACTGGTAACAGCGTCATGTGATCTGAGTGCGGATCATCTGTTAAAGTGCAGTGAACACACTGCGCTCTGAGGTCAGAGGTCAGCACGGATCTGAAGGAGGTCACAGATGACCCACATCTGAACACACCAAGGTCATCGGCAATGTGACCTTTAGCCTAGAGGTCACTGTCAGGAGAGAGAGTAACCCGGGGGGAGGAGCAGTAGACATGCCAGTGAGCATTTCTAAACAAACACACACACATGTGCACACTCTTACACAGGGTTTGGATGCATCTGAAATGATGAGGATGCATCTGAAAATGCTTTTTAACATTAAAAAAGCATGTTTTAATGGATCATTTTTGCATTTAAAACTTAAGTATATTGTCTGGATTTTCATGTGGTTGCTAGGCTGTCTGTATGGTGTTCAGGGTGGCATTGTTAGTTGTAGTGAAGGACGTTCAACAGAAACTAGGTCCACACAGTTACTTCCTAGAACCTTTTTTTAAACACTCATTACTTTTTAGAACCTTTTTATAAACACGCAGTTACTTCTTAGAATCTTTTTTTAAAACACACATTACTTTGTAGAACCGTTTTAGAAACTCACAGTTATTTCTTAGAACTTTTTAAAAACACTCATTACTTTTTAGAACCTTTTTAGAAACACAAAGTTTCCAAAAAGGCTCTAAAAAGTAATGTTTTTTTCTAAAATGGTTCTAAAAAATAACTGTGGGTTTTCAAAAAAGTAATGAGTGTTTTAAAAAGGTTCTAAAAATAACTGTGGGGTTCCAAAAAGGTTCTAAGAAGTAATGAGTATGTTAAAAAGGTTCTAAAATAACCGTGGGTCTCCTAAAAGGTTCTAAAAAATAACTGTGTGTTTCAAAAAATGTTCTAAAAAGTAATGAGTGTTTTTAAAAAGGTTCTAAAAAATAACCGTGGGTTTCCAAAAAGGTTCTAAAAAGTAATGAGTGTTTCTTAAAAGGTTTTAAAAAGTAACAAGTGTTTCTAAAAAGGTTAAAAAAAAGTAATGAGTGTTTCTAAAACGTAACTGTGTGTTTCTAAAAAGGTTCTAAAAAGTAATGAGTGTTTCTAAAAAGGCTCTAAAAAATAACCGTGGGTTTCCAAAAAGGTTCTTAAAAGTAACTGTGTTTCTAAAAAGGTTCAAAAAAGTAATGAGTGTTTCTAAAACGTAACTGTGCATTTCTAAAAAGGTTCTAAAAAGTAATGAGTGTTTCTAAAAAGGTTCTAAAAAATAACCGTGGGTTTCTAAAAGGTTCTAAAAAGTAATGAATGTTTCCAAAAATGTTCTGAAAATGTGTTTCTAGGTTCTAAAAAGTAATGAGTATTTCTAAAAAAAAATACGAAAAAGTAACCACGTACAAAAAACAAGTAGTTTTTCCTTTCTAAAAATGAATAACATTATTGTGTTATGGAAAATAATGTTACATTCCTTTGCATGTGTGTAGAATGCATAAAATGACAGTGTGGAAAAAAAATGACTGGATAGTCTGAAACAAAACAACATAATAATATTTCTATTACAATCTCTTCACGACTTGCAATTTTCTACTCCACAATAAAACATACATGTGAACACATGACTCTTAAAGGCTTTGATTTTAAATTCAGTGCTATTTAGTATACAGTATCTCGCCCTACATGAGTATATACTCAGATAAAGCGATACACATGACAAACCTCATCTAGTTGATCTCTCAAAACACTCAATTCCTCATCATGTCAGGGGTCATTTGGCCTGAACCTCAACAGAAAACACTCACACACCAGTAAACACTGACTGACACACACTATTCACACATACACACACACACTGCTATGTAGGGCAGGTTAAAGTGTCACGGTTTTGTGTTGTCTATCAGGGCATGACGGCCGGTTGATCTTAATTAAATTCCTGAATAATTAAATTATAGTGTATTTACTTTGCCAAATATGGTTTAGTCTCTGGAAAGACTCGTAAATGGTTGGTATTTATCATTTTTATGTCCATTCTTGCTGTGAGAACTTGAAAACTGTTCTGATTTAAAATGTAAAAAAACATTTTAAAAAATGAAGTTTTCAGAACAAGTACTGAATTTTTCAATGCTGTTGAATTTAATAAGTGTGTGATTGGCTGCTTGGACTTAGGTCACATGATCAATGTAGAAATATAAACCTGCAATTAGTCAAAGCAATCTCATCATCCCTCTAATTTACTCAGCTAATTATGATTCAGCAGTTCATTATCAAATAAAACATTATGAATTGAGTACAGATTGTCATGAACCGAGAGTGGATCACTACTAATCCAGATTTCTGATCTAAAGATCTGAAGGAAATGACTGTCGTGTTCACCAACATAGACAAAGATAATAACCATACAGCCTTTATAATGCAGACAGTTATCATTAAATCATAAAAAGAATCATAATGATTCATTCGATAGTCAAATTAAACAGAAGTCGAGCAAGCCTTTTTCCCTATTGTGACGTATATTCGAGAGAACTAAACAATTGTAGGGGAGGGCTTTATTGTGTTTATGGTTCTCTATTGGTGGATCTCATGTGAGTGACAGGTTGCCCCGCCCTCGCACCAGTAATCAAACTCTTAAAGACTGCCATATTCACTCATCATCTCTAATCTAAGCTCAATACTTGGAAATCTACTTGTTTTTTTTCTGGTTAATTACCCCAAATAACCGGCTCAGTTGTTCTGATGTGACTCCCTGTCAGAAATCTTCCTCATATTTCACTGTTTGCTGTCACGACAGTTTTTGTACACATATATCCATTATTTCTCAAAAGTCTGAGGCATTTAACGTTTTGTCTACTATTATAATCCTTTTTCAAAAGTATCACAATGTAATCATACATAGAATGGCTTAGTAGTTTACATTCCACATACACTTACCATTCACTCCTTGGCGCGCTTTTAAGAGAATCCCGCTCGTCTTCATGGCGATGTGCGTGACAATGGCGCCACCTTGTGGAATCTCACGAGAACTGTCACTCGAGCTCCTTCTGCGGTGCCTCGTTTGTACAGCAGGTGTCGTTGTTGAGAAACAATATAGGATGCAGCATCTCTGGCATCATCATTACTTTACAAACAAGGAACTATTACAAGAAGCCTTTCCAAAACGACACAAATCAGATCAAAATACAGTGATACTTTAGCTAACCTAGTCATGTTCTAAGACGTTATTGAAACAGTGGTTTTAATTTAGTGGTTTTAAACTTATTGACATTTTTTTTAAAAAATGTTTCATGTGAACATTCAGTTAACAGTGTGAAACAACAACATTAGAACATACTGTTGTGTTCTAATGCATTTAAAAAATTGTCGACTGAGATTAAGAATAACAAAAATATAAAGAATAGCATAAGAAAACACTTCAACTCCATAGCACAATACAAAAACAGAACTATACAGTACAATATGGAAGAAAAAAGAAAGAAAGGCTGCATTACATAAATTAAAAGAATTTTAAACATTATAAGGTAAAAGGTTTGTAGGTCGTGCATGTTCTACATGTTCTGAGTGCTTTAAGATAACATGAAATTGTAATCAAATAATGTTCTATCTCGTGTAAGAATACCAAACTTGCAAACTTACATTTATGAATAATGCATTTAGGAAAATAATTATCTTTATTATAAAGCAGGCATTTGAATCCGCTTTAAAAAAAAATCCGAAAATAACAGTTTTGGGATTTATTGAGATATTTAGCAAGATATTACTTGAGATAAACCACTTACATCTTTTCAAACTTACAGAGTAAAATTGCACGACCAAAACAAACGAAGAGGAGTTTCAGTGTCAAACAGTGGTTTTAAATGTGAGATCAATGGTTGCGGTCTGTTACGCAACGGCGTGCACGCGCGCGCTCGCTCGCGAATGTTTCTCAGCATCCGCGACTGTAATGGCGGCGGATCCGGTTACAACTGAGATCAAAGAATACAGAAGAATATAAGTTATTTTTTAAAATCATCTGGACCGATTCCGTGAGTCCGATCATCCTCTGAAACTACAGATCCAGTCAGTGCACGAGCACTGGATTAAAGCGCGTGCACGAGGAGGATCTGAAGTCATGGATGTGTTCGAGATTCTCAATCTAAATGAACTCGCTCTCGGGCTGTCAAATCTGTCCATGTTCCCCTACTTTGACATGGCGCATTATATCATATCAGTGATGAGTCTGAGAGAGCAACCAGGTAAGAGTAATCTCACCGATTACCTGTAATGCATCAAATACACAACGAACTTCTACTGTCACAAGTTTATTTCGTTGTATTTCTGAGCATGTCATATGTTTTCATGAATTTAAAAGTTGCATTGCTATATAATTGCATTGTATTTAATCAAAATAGTTGTGATAATGTTCCAAGATCAGATGTTTATTGAGTTTTATGAACGTTCGTCACGCATTTTGCTCCAGTCTCCTTAGGCAGGTGAAGCAAACGCGCACGCGCACACGTGTACAGGCGCGTGCACGACACTGTTTATCGGTGGCTGTACAATAGTCCAGGTTGCATTGGCACAGAATGAAGGTTGATGATTGTATGCGTCTAGAGCAGCTCAGTGTGTTTAAGAGCCCATGCATAATGAATGATTATTATGACTTTAAAAGCAGAAGCTACATGTTCAAAGGGGAAGAGGAGAAATACACTTAATCTTTAACTCAATGTCAATATTATTATCTAGACTCATACACTTAATCTTTAACTCAATGTCAATATTATTATCTAGACTCTCTCTCTCTGTGTGTGCTTTTCCCCAAGAAAAATGCAAATTGCAGGAGTTAGGCAGATTAAACACGCATGGTGGAGGCTCAAAACCAGTTTGGCGGATTGTTTTGCATTAACCAAACCATATAAACATGGCCTTTACTCTTCTTCACTGGCAGAGCTGGGTTTGTCTTCACATCCCAGTTAATACGATCCTAACCACGTTTACACAAATTAAAGGAGTAGTTCACTTTTGAAAAAACTTTTGCTGGTAATTTACTCACCCCCATGGCATCCAAGATGTCCATGTCATTCTTTCTTCAGTCGAAAAGAAATTAAGGTTTTTCGTGAAAATATTCCAGCATTTTTCTTTATATAATGCACTTCAGTGGGAACCAAACGGTTCAAGGTTGATGAACGAGTTCGAACAGGAGAGTCACTAACATGCATCGCAGTAGCAGGGGCGTAGCAATCATTTCAAAAGTGAGGGGGACAGAATGTCAAGCATTATACCTTTTTTTTACAATTGCATACTGCATTTATTGAATGGTAACACTTTACAATAAGGTTTCATTAGTTATCTATCTATCTATCTATCTATCTATCTATCTATCTATCTATCTATCTATCTATCTATCTATCTATCTATCTGTCTCTCTGTCTGTCTGTCTGTCTGTCTGTCTGTCTGTCTGTCTGTCTGTCTGTCTGTCTGTCTGTCTGTCTGTTTTACTTAACCAAAACTGTCTTTCATATTGAAAACATTCAAACTTCATGCTTTTAAAACTTCTTCAAACTTTCTGGAAGGCTTTTTAAAGAAAACTTAACGTTTGTCTACAAACCATTTTAATCTAATTGTAAAGTGTTACCTTATTATATGGTATACATCATGTACACATGTTACAAGTACAATACTGCATGATTCAAGCTTTTTTTAAAAGCCAGTCTATTACTTTTCACCTGTGAACTTTCTTTTTTTTTTTTGAGTGTCATCCTCTTTCTGACCTGACAACCCTAGGCTCCCTGTTTCTTGATCAATCTTGACAACACAGAAGAAGAAAAAAACAAACAAAACATTAAATTAGTGCAATAATATTATTGAACCCTATAAATTAAGACCTAAATCAGAACATTAATGCATACAATTGCATACTGCATTTATATTGAATGGTAACACTTTACAATAAGGTTTCATTAGTTATCTATCTATCTATCTATCTATCTATCTATCTATCTATCTATCTATCTATCTATCTATCTGTCTGTCTGTCTGTCTGTCTGTCTGTCTGTCTGTCTGTCTGTCTGTCTGTCTGTCTGTCTGTCTGTCTGTCTGTCTGTCTGTCTCTGTCTGTCTGTCTGTCTGTCTGTCTGTCTGTCTGTCTGTCTGTCTCTCTGTCTGTCTGTCTGTCTGTCTGTCTGTCTTACTTAACCAAAACTGTCATTCATATTGAAAACATTCAAACTTCATGCTTTTAAAACTTCTTCAAACTTTCTGGTTAGGCTTTTTAAAGAAAACTTAACGTTTGTCTACAAACTTTTTTAATCTAATTGCAAAGTGTTACCTTATTATATGGTAAACATCATGTACACATGTTACAAGTACAACACTGCATGATTCAAGCAAATAAGTTAGATAATGGCAGAAAATTAGGCAAAGTTATTCATCAATGACAATGAGCAACCAAATTCGGATACCACATTACAACTTACAGTTCTTGACTTTTTTGCGAAAAAAAGTGTGAAGCGTTTTTCGCCGTTTTGAATTCCTTTCGACCTTTGACGATGGATTCAGTGCGGGTGCGAGCACGGGCGTGTGGTGATGCACGAGCGCGAGTGACTGATTACCATGGCAACGTGAAAGTCACGTGTAGATACAGTAGATAGGCGATCTTTTCTCTTTGAATTTTAAATCTGTATCTATAAATACACATTGGCTCGCGAAAACCTCAACATGTCGTGAACACTTCCCCTATGAAAAAGTGCGGGGGACAAATTTACATTTTATAAAATGTGGGGGGGACACGTCCCCCGCGTAATCTACGCCCTACAGAGCAAGGCCACCATTTGAGCTTATAAAACTTAAACTTTTTTTTTTTTAAATGAGCGATCGTTTCGCTTGTTAAGACCCTTATTCATCGTCTGGAATCGTTTAAAGCCCTTTGAATTTAAACTTTCCGTCCTCGAAAAGTTATTAAATGCATTGTTAAAATAGTCCAAGTGACTTCAGTGGCTCAATCTTAAAGGGTTAGTTCACCCAAAAATGAAAATTCTGTCAGTATTTACTCACCCTCATGTTGTTCCAAGCCTCAATGTTTTTATTTGCTCTGCTGAACACAAAGGAAGATATTTGGACAGTTTTAATCAAAAAGATCTCATTCCCCATTATGTATTTTTTCCTACTATGGTAGTCAATGGGGAATGAGATCGGTTTGATTAAAACTGTCTTCCAAATATCTTCCTTTGTGTTCAGCAGAACAAATAAACACATAGTGGTTTGGACTTTGGAACAACATGAGGGTGAGTAAATACTGACAGAATTTTCATTTTTGGGTGAACTAACCCTTTAACTTTATCAAGTGACGAGAATACTTTTTGTGCGCAAAAACAAACAAAAATAACAACTTTATTTCAACTATTCACTTCCTTCTCTTAAGCCTCTAGTCAGTTAACGTAGTGTGATTGCATAGAGCTACGTCACACGCAGGCTCACTATTGGCCCACCGACTGGTCATGTGTGAGATGCGTGTTTGACGTACAATAACAGAAGCTTACGTTATTAAACTAGTAACCTGACTCGAGGCAGAAAGAGAAGTAAATGAATAATTGAAATAAAGTCGTTATTTTTGTTGTTTTTTATGCACAAAAAGTTTTCTCGTCATTTGATAAACTTAATATTGAGCCACTGTAGTCACTTGGACTATTTTAAAAATGTCTTTAATAACTTTTCGAGGCCAGCAAGTTTCAATTTCTCAAGAAGCCTATGGACTAGTATGGAGGAGTGATCCAGCTCTCAGATTTCATCAGATTTCATCACAAATATCTTAATTCGTGTTCTGAAGATGAAAGAAGGTCTTACGGGGTTGGAACAACATGAGGGTGAGTAAATACTGACAGAATTTTCATTTTTGGGTGAGCTAACCCTTTAATGATGCTTTTGTTTGAACAGGGTTTGACTTTTTGAAATGTAGGTCCTGGAAAACCCTTGAGAGCAGCCGTATTTATGAAGAAGTGCTTGGAATGTATTTAGAATTTTATTAATGAAACAATCTTTTCACACAGTATTAAAGCTGCAGTCCGTCTGATATAGAGGCATTTCTCACAGCTATGAGAGCGATATTGCTCATTAATATCCAAATATATGATACAGCTTTCATTCTTCAGTTCAATCATATATTCATGTTTGAAAAATCAGTTTGAATAAGAAAAGCGATATCTCTGTCATAGTGTCCTTTCAACGGTTAAAGTTACCAGTCACTGCACGTTCTGCACTTTATTTGTGCCATTTTGTTTTATTAGCTTATTTTTATGTATCTATTTACCTTTTTTAGAATTTAAAATATAATATAGATATTGTTTGATAAGAGAGATCTCTGATTGTAGTCCTCGAAAAAAAAAAAAAAAAAAAGTAGTGCTTAAATTCCTGGACTTTGATACAGCCTCTGCACAAACCCTGTGAGAACGTTATTGAGCACCTCCAGAAAGCTTAGATGACTGAAGGAAGGGTGTGTAACGTCACTGGAAGAGTGTGTGTTCAGCTGATCCTCTATTGTGTCAAGCAGCTGCTCTGGATCACAGGCTATTTCTGAGTCTCGGCATCTCGTTTCTCTCGCTATTGTCTCTGAAATATGTCCTCATGTTCACCTCCAGCGGGGAGAAACATACACACACATACACACACTATGAAAACTGATCAGTTGACTTAAAGGGGTCTTCCGATGCAAAATTCACTTTTATATGGTGTTTGCATATAGATGTGTGTGTGCAGTGTGTGGACACCACCAGACAATGAAAAAAATCCAATCCATTTTGTTTAATCCTCAATGTTGAACACTCTCAATAATCAAGCATTTGGATTTTCTGAGCAATGTGATGTCATAACGCTCAAGCTCCGCAAAAAAGCGTTGACGGACATTTCCTCCCTCAGACATGCTGTCCACCAAGGCAACAAGGTGTCTTGTGTCGACACACACCACAGGAGAGAGAGATAGATTATCATTTAAAGAGACATGCACGAAACGGTCTCTGTGAACAGAGCTGTGTTTGAAGAGGTAAAGGTGTCGTTTTACATGACCATTGAGGAATTTAAACCAAAGTATGTAATAAACTTTACATGAAGACCCCGAAGATGCCAACTTGAGGTAACCTGTTGCTTTAAAGGAGTAGTTCACTTTTGAAAAAAATGTTGCTGCTAATTTACTCACCCCCATGTCTTAGACTTAGACTTAGACTTAGAAAACTTTAATGTCCTCGAAAGGCAATTTGTTGTGCAATACAGGCATATTGACACTTAATCACACATAATCCACAACACAAACATTTCCACATACACAATGTCATAAATAAATAGGTAAAAATACAAAATACAAAGTAAAACCAATTCACATTACTTCACATGTATTCTCCAATCATACCCCTCCCCCCACCTTATTTGATTGGGTTGTCATCCATGATATCCTTGTCTTTCTTTCTTCAGTCGAAAAGAAATTAAGGTTTTTGATGAAAACATTCCAGCATTTTTCTCCATATAATGGACTTCAGAATGAATCAAACGGTTCAAGGTCCAAAAGACACTTTCAGTACAAACTGCAAACTGTTCAAAGGGCTTTAAACGATTCCAGACGATGAATAAGGGTCTTGTCAAGCGAAACGATCGCTCATTTAATAACTAAATAACAAAGTTTAAGTTTTATAAGCTCAAATGGTCGCCTTGCTCTGTTCTGTGATGCACGTTTGTGACTCTCCTGTTCGAACTTGTTCATCAAAACGAACAAATCTTTCTCCGAGTCATTTGGTTTATTCAACGAACGAAACGAACGAATTGACTCGGAAAAAGATTTTTTAATTTTGATGAACGAGTTCGAACAGTAGATTCAAGAACGCGCATCACAGAACAGAGCAAGTCGAGCATTTGTGCTAATAAAACTTTTTTTTTTTTAAATGAGCGATCGTTTCGCTTGATAAGACCCTTATTCATCGTCTGGAATCGTTTAAAGCCCTTTGAACAGTTTGCAGTTTGTACTGAAAGTCTCTTTTGGGCCTTGAACCGTTTGGATCCCTCTGAAGTGCATTATATGGAGCATTAAATGCTGGAATATTTTCATCCAAAACCTTTGACTGAAGAAAGAAAGACATGGACATCTTGGATGACATGGGGGTGAGTAAATTACCAGCAAAAGTTTTTTGAAAAGTGAACTACTTCTTTAAAATGAAGTAAATAAACCTCATGCTTAATCGAAAAAATTAAGTAATGTGGAATTGGAAAAGTTCACATAACTTATTTATTTTTTCTTAAAATTGAGCATTATGTTTATGTACTTAATAATTTTAAGGCTACAGGTTTACACATTTTTTTAAGTGTGAACTGATCACTTTTTACAGTGAATGATTCAAACGCTTGACTGTCTCCAGTGGAGTGAGCTTAAACAGTGTGTTTCCCAGAGGAAAGATGGGGTTTTGAGTGCGTATCTGCAAAAAAATAGTTTTTCGTTAACATTTAGAAGTTGCAAAACTCCTTCACTTCTCAGTGTTTTCATCATGTGATGAAGGAATAATGGATCATCGGATTGTGTTTTCCTAAGCTTTTATTCCATGAGGAATGTGTTCAGCTTCTCTCGGCTGATAAAGACTGAGTCTGTTCTGTATCCTGTTCTCGCGGAGGTTTCCCTGTGTGTCACTTCCTGTTTCCAGACTCATGCGTGTTTAATGGGAACAGCAGAGAACAAGAATGTTTTCTGTTACAGTCAAACCAAAAACTGTTCAGACTCCAGATATCACTTTTGATATTGTTTCACTAGTGTGATCAGGACACTATAGTTCATTTATGTGAGTGAGGAGAGCAAAATAAAATAAACTGTGACATATTATACCCAAATATTCTTTATACAGTGACTACGAGAAACATTTCGAATAATAATATTCATCATTTAAATTATTCCTCCACTTTGAGCTGATCATGTTTTGTTTTCTATAATTGCTAATGCTCTTTTTACACACAGACTGAACAACACGAAACATTGCTTTGTCACAGGTTGAGCTAAACTGGTTTTATTTAATTGTGTAGTTAAATTTAACAGCTGACAAATATTCAATATAATTCATGTGTGAGAGTCTAACAGAAGGACGGACAAAACCAGTCAAATATCAGCTGATCTGAGAACTCGGAATTCTCCTCATATTTATTACCAAACTACCATCACTGGATGTGATGAGGTCATGTGACGAACGTGATGACAGTTTGAAACCTTTATTGTTGTATTTTGTATTGTGTGATCGTTGGAAACACACACAAACACTGTAGCGGCTGCATAGCAATGACTCGGAACATGTTCGCAACCACTGGCACACACACTCTCAGATTGTGCTGTGATTTTGTGACCGTTTCTTTGTGTTAAAATGATCATGTGATTGTTGAGTTACACCTGGATAAACTCTGTTGCTGTGTGTGTGTGTGTGTGTGTGTGTGTGTGTGTGTGTGTGTGTGTGTGTGTAGTAACGCTTGTGCTGATGTTGCAGGCGTCTCTCTCTCTGTCAGCAGACACACAGGTACGTTTATACTGCGGGACTTTAACACACACTCACACACACACACACAAACACACTTAAACTCACTCACACACACACACACACACACACACACAAACTCACACACACAAACAGACAAACACACTTAAACTCATTCACACACACACACCCTCACCTTCAAACTCACACACACTCTAACACAAATTCACACACACACAAACTCACTCAAACTCATACAAACATACCTTCACACTCAAACTCTCTCACACTCAAACTCACACACACCCACACACACAAAAACGCATCACTCATCTCTCTGTGCTTCATCTGTAGAGAAACATCCATTGCAAACATGAGAGCCTGACGCGTGAGTTTGATGCGTTTGATTGTTTGAGTGTGTGAGTTTGTGTGAGTCTGTTGTGTGTGTGTGTGTGTGTGTGTGTGTGTGTGTGTGTGTGTGTATGTGTGTGTATGTGAGTCTGTGTTTGTGTGTGAGTTTGAATGTGTGTGTGTGTGTGTGAGAGAGAGAGTTTAAGTGTGTTTGTGAGTGTGAGTGTGTGTGTGTGTGTGTGAGTGAGTGATCATTAGCTCAGTGATTGAACAGATGTTGATTGTTTGGATCAGGATTGAGTGAATCATGAACTCAAGTGTGTGTGTGTGTGTGTGTGTGTGTTGCTGTTGCATCACATGACCTGCATCACAGTCAGTGTGACTGATCAGAGATCAGCTCTCCATCGCCACCAGCTTCTGCCCGTTCCATGGTCACATGATTAAATATAATAAAATATACAGAAACATTAAAAGCCACTTTGAATCTGCTCTACAGAAACTTTATTTTATGGAAGTTTGTTTCAGTCACAGAATAAAAAAAATATAAAAGGTAATTTTGGATTTTATTTCACAATTCTGGCTTTAGATGTAACCTCAGAAGTGTAAGATATAAACTCGTGATTTTGAGAAATAATGTCAGAATTGTGAGATTAAAAGTCCCTATAATCTTTTTAATTTTTTCCATAAAATTTTTCTATCGTCTTCATAGTAAAGTGTATAATGAAATTTGAATTGCCTTTTATCTTTACTGACATGATATTTACATTGACATGACGTCACGCTGCATAAATATTCTATATGCTCTATTCATTATTATGAGCTCATAAAAACGTTATATATCATAATAAACCTAGGACAGCATGTTTCACTGCTGACTCATGTGATGCCTGTTTGCATATTCATGAATGTAAGAGTTTGTGTTTGTAAATGAGTGTTTATAAACCGTGAGACGGGAAGTGGGTCATCCTCATTCATGGTCACATAACCCGGCTGGGCATGTCACTGTAATCTCACACCAGCTGATGGTCACATGATCACCATATCATACATGTGTCTGACATAGTATAATGTACCAGTAAGTGAAGAATGATGAAGTTGTGTGTGTGTGTGTTCCTCAGGAGTGCTGACCGTGTCTCAGCTCAGTCCTCTGGCCTGCTGGTTCAGTTCGATGTTGTATTGTTTCGGTGGAGCCGTTCTCTCAGCGCTGATGATGGCAGACGCTCCAGTCGCTCCACTGTCCAACACCACTAACCTGCTGATCGCCTCACTCATGTGGTGAGAACACACACATACACACACTCCACACACTCTACTGAAATGTGGCACCAATTGATTTAATGTGAATCGGTGCTCTGTAATTCAGTCTGTGCCCTTAAAGGAGAACTCCGGCGCAAAATGAACCTTTGGTCTAATTACACATTGTTACCTAGTCAACCGTTATCTGAGATTTGTTTTCATGATTGCCGAATGTAAATAGTTTTATCTCTAAAAAACAGTTTAGCCTATAACGCTAGTAAAACGCTAGTGAATAGGGCATAGAGTAATGAAAAATAAAAATCGCTTGTTATTACCACTAACAAGGCTCAAAATAGCCCCACACCAGTGATGCGCGGGTCAATGTATAAACAACCCGCAACCGACCGACGTTTTCAGCTACCCGCCCACAACTCGGACCGCAAAAAAAGTAAAAAAAACATTGTACCCGACCCGCTTCCTGGCCGCATTTTTTAAAAGTAGTAAATGCTCATCGGAGCTTTATTGGGCCATAGACGTGTAACAACACAGCATCGCAAGAAGACGTAGGCCTAGTACACATAACAAAGGCAAAGCCAGCACTTTGGTCATCATCTTTCATTATTTCAGCAAATGTCTCCCACACTTTTACTCTTTCTATTTGTGTATTTGCAGAGCTTCCACTCCCCAGTCTTCACCTTTTCTCTTGCCGCCTCCATCTCTCTGCAGACTGTAGTGATCGTAGACATGGCCGGTTCGTGAACGAATCGTTCTTTTGAACCGGTTCTTTTTAGTGAACCGGTAGAACCAGTACACTCGAACTGAATCGTTCGAAACAGTTCGCGTCTTGCGTCAGTGCTGATCCACAAGTTACTAAAGTTACTCACTTTCAGACATGCCTGACAGTCGCCTCCGAATCGAAATAAATCAATATCCAGAATTATATTTTACTCCAGTAACTCCAACAGTTCACTGAACCGAGACATGTTGGTGCCACTGTTGAGAGAAGTGATGAACACGAGCAGCTGATACTGCGCATAGATACTGCGTATACCGAACGCACAGGGACAGCGGTTCTCCAATCACTAGTAAAGAACCGAGAACTGTTTAGACTGAGTGTGTTATCTTCGTGCCAGTTATTCAGCCAATAATGTGTAGGGCTGTATATTTCATCAAAAATTGTGTCTAGTACTATATACAAATGTTTAATTGGCATCTTTTTTCAAACGACCCGACCGACCGCGACCCGAATATCATTAAAAACATTTTTGGATGACCCGTAACTGCGGGTAACCGCGGGTGACCGCAGGCACCCGCTCATTTCGGATCAACCCGCGCATCACTGCCCCACACTAACACGACAGCATAATAAGGGTCACTACATTCAAACCGAAGTGAAAAGCAAAACAAAAATGCAGAAGGCATTTTTATAAATCTCTTAAGTCTTGTATTTTTAAGTTGTTTAAGTTTTGTTAATAAAGGCATAGAACCAGTTTATTTGTAGTGCACTGACAATAGTTTTATATAATTAGTTTATTAATTAAATTAATAAAAAGACAAAATGACCCTGATATGAGTTTGGTAATTGTACTTGACTTAATGTAAAATTAATTTGCTATATTTCAGATCAATATATTTGTTTTCCTTAATTTTAATTAACACTTTATTCTCATCTGAATTATAAATAAATGATTTCCGTATAAAATAGTTACCATTAAAACACATTTGATTTTCTTTTTTAATCAATGTCATGAACGCAGGACTGTTAGCAAACTGTGATGACCATAAAATGAAAGTTCTATGGTTGTTCCACAACATTTTGTATGTCATGTTTGGGGTGTGGGATGAAGAGAGGGATATTTTTAGTAATTATTTAATAAAACATTATTTAATTTATCTTCAGTGTGTAGTATTAGCCAATCAGGTGTCTTGATGGGAATCACGCGATTACGATTCAGCCTACACAGCACAAAAAAAAAAAACTAGTCTAAAAAACTACTAGTGATCATATAACGTTAGTCGATGTCAATATCAGCGCTAGCAATATGATTAGTTAGCTCATGGCAGAGTTTATCAGCCGAACTCCAGAGCGCAAATCTACCTTTGGTGTACCAAAATCATCGTAAGGTAGAGACACGGTGTCTTACATCTCTGCGTCTTTTTCCTGCCGCCATGCAGGCCCAGATGGTAGCCTATATGATTGTGATTGATTAGCATGCCTATTATAAAGACACAAACCTTTTACTATCATGTCCATTGATTTTGAATAATATGCGCAAGGAGGGAGAGAGAGAGAGGGAGCAAGACAGCGCTTGTGTTGTGTGAAGACGTTAGAGTGTGCGCGCGCAGCCAGGGCGCGCTCTCTCTCTCTCTCTCTCTCTCAGTTCGTTTGCGCCCTGTCAAACGCATCAGTCATTCTACTCTACAACACTCGCCGATCAAAAAAGACTTTGGCGGGACAAAAAGCGGACGATCAGACAGGTTTTAGAAGATTAAATACAACCTGAAAGAAACTAAAAAAACTAGACCCGTCAAAATAGTCAGTGATACATTTGCGATCCATTAAAAATTAGGGTCGCATATGCGACCATTTTGGTCGCAGTGTAGTTCCCTGGATAGGGGCAGTCACAAAGGGGCAGTCACAAAGGGGCAGTCACAAAGGGGCAGTCACATAGGGGCAGTCACATAGAGGCAGTCACAGAGGAGCAATCACATAGGGGCAGTCACATAGGAGCAGTCACATAGGAGCAGTCACATAGGAGCAGTCACATAGGAGCAGTCACATAGGAGCAGTCACATAGGAGCAGTCACATAGGAGCAGTCACATAGAGGCAGTCACATAGGAGCAATCACATAGGGGCAGTCACATAGGAGCAGTCACATAGGAGCAGTCACATAGGGGCAGTCACATAGGGGCAGTCACATAGGGGCAGTCACATAGGAGCAGTCACATAGGAGCAGTCACATAGGAGCAGTCACATAGGAGCAGTCACATAGGAGCAGTCACATAGGAGCAGTCACATAGGAGCAGTCACATAGGAGCAGTCACATAGGAGCAGTCACATAGGAGCAGTCACATAGGAGCAGTCACATAGGGGCAGTCACATAGGAGCAGTCACATAGGAGCAGTCACATAGGAGCAGTCACATAGGAGCAGTCACATAGGAGCAGTCACATAGGGGCAGAAATGTTGGGGCAGTCACATAGGAGCAGTCACATAGGGGCAGAAATGTTGGGGCAGTCATATAGGATGAGTAATATAAAAGCTGAGGTCCTGTGGAGACAGGGGCAGAGGCCCGGGGAATGGAGGCTCCACCCCGAGGTGGTGTAGCAGATATGTTCGACCAGGCTCTGTTTTCGTCTCTAGAGATGTCTCACTGTCCACTCTTGTTTCTCCCTCACGCTCCTCTCAGACTGGATGGTACAAACATGGCCTAGGCTTCGTTTGTATGCTTTCTCCCCGATCGCTCTGCTCTCTGGAGAGGACCAAATCTGCCTGCTTCTTATAGCCCCGCGGTGACTTGACCGAGTCCCTAATCTAGTGTCTCTCCTCGACAGGCCTCCTCTGGAGTTACCTGTCAGGAGGGACCGTCTGTCCCAAGCTGAGGCCTCAATCATTCACCCCCTCCAGAACTGTGGAACCTGTTGGCTTGCCCTCTGAGCGGGCCCAGCTCATAGGGACAGGTTTCTCAACAGAGGTTGTGGAGACCATTCTACACTCCAGACCTCACTCCACAAGGAAACTTTATGCCCTGAAGTGGAGAGTTTTCACTTCTTGGTGTTGTGGCTGTCAGTTAGACCCAGTTAACTGCCTGGTTGCTCCAGTGCTGGAGCTCCTGCAGGAGCGGTACACTGCAGGTCTATCCCTGTCCACTTTAAAGGTTTACGAGGTGGCCATATGTGCTTACCACATTCCTTTGGGTGAAATGTCTTTGGGTAAAGACCAGTTGTTCATATGTTTTGGGCCCTCTAACTAAGGGTCCCCTGCATCTAAGCAGAGAATGAGCAAGTGGCTGGTCGAGGCTATCTCACTTGCTTACGAGTTGGCCGGACAGCCTTCACCTATGGCTGTCTGTTCCCACTCTACTAGGAGTATGGTGCTCTGCAAGGTCCTTTTGACAGGAGTTGCTCTCCAAGATGTCTTTGATCCGGCAGACTGGTCATCACCGCACACATTTGTAAGGTTCTACTCTTTGAACTTGGACTCTACACCAGGGTCCCAAGTGCTCTCGTCCTAGTGCTGATCCTTTCTATCTCACACTTCTCGCTATGGTGGCATTGGTATAGATGTTCCCTCAGCGTCAATCGACGCAGCACGAGTTCCCTTGAAAGGGAACGCCTGGGTTACAACTGTAACCTCGGTTCCCTGAAGAGGGAACGAGACGCTGTGTCACCTTGCCATATCTCCTACACTCACCTAAAGGATTATTAGGAACACCTGTTTAATTTCTCATTAATGCAATTATCTTTTTAACTAATCACATGGCAGTTGCTTCAATGCATTTAGGGGTGTGGTCCTGGTCAAGACAATCTACTGAACTGAATGTCAGAATAGGAAAGAAAGAGGAATTTGAGTATTTCACAATCTGCTCAGTTACTGGGATTTTCATGCACAACCATTTCTAGGGTTTACAAAGAATGGTGTGAAAAGGGAAAAAACATCCAGTATGCGGCAGTCCTGTGGGCGAAAATGCCTTGTTGATGCTAGAGGTCAGAGGAGAATGGGCCGACTGATTCAAGCTGATAGAAGAGCAACTTTGACTGAAATAACCACTCGTTACAACCGAGGTATGCAGCAAAGCATTTGTGGAAGCCATAACACACACAACCTTGAGGCGGATGGGCTACAACAGCAGAAGACCCCACTGATCCCCACCACTCATCTCCACTAAAAATAGGAAAAAGAGGCTACAATTTGCAAAATCTCACCAAAATGTGACAGTTAAAGACTGGACAAATGTTGCCTGGTCTGATGAGTCTCGATTTCTGTTGAGAAATTCAGATGGTAGAGTCAGAATTTGGTGTAAACAGAATGAGAACATGGATCCATCATGCCTTGTTCCCACTGTGCAGGCTGGTGGTGGTTGTCTAATGCTGTGGGGGATGTTTTCTTGGCACACTTTAGGCCCCTTAGTGCCAATTGGGCATTGTTTAAATGCCACGGCCTACCTGAGCATTGTTTCTGACCATGTCCATCCCTTTATGGCCACCATGTCCCCATCCTCTGATGGCTACTTCCAGCAGGATAATGCACCATGTCAAAGCTTGAATCATTTTAAATTGGTTTCTTGAACATGATAATAAGTTCACTGTATTAAAATGGCCCCCACAGTCACCAGATCTCAACCCAATTGAGAATCTTTGGTGTTCCTAATAATCCTTTAGGTGAGTGCACGTGCCTCTAAGCAACTTGCTCAGACCTTAAGAAGCTAGCGCTGCTTCGTTTGGGCAGGCTTTATAGTTCCCTGGTTCATGACGTTTTGACGGATTTCTGATGTTCCGTCACACCATTGGACTGATTTCAGACATGAAAATGTCTGAAATCAGTCCAATGTGCTCAAGACATCATCACACAAAGCGTTCCTTCAGCGTCATTCGAAGCAGCGTCTCAATCCCTCTTCAGGGAGCCAAGGTTACAGTCTTAACCGAGGCGTTATCTTTTTTTTTTTAGTTAAGAGTTTAAATTACACAATTTATATTTTACAATTCATAATTCCGACTTTTTTCTTGAAATTTTGAGTTTATACCTCACAATTTTTAGTAAAACATTTCAGAATCGCAAGTTGTAAACTCGGAATTGCAAGACAAAAGTTGCACCTTTTATATTTCACAATTCTTAAAAATAGACTCACATTTGCAAGAAGAAAAAAGTAAAAATTGCAAGAATGTCACAATTTGTACTTTATAACTCTCAATTTATGACTTTTTTTCTTGCAATTGTAAGTTTATACCTCACAATTAAATAAAAAGTCCCAATTGCTTAAAAAAAGTCAGAATTGCATGTTTCCAAATATATATAAACTTAGATTTTTTTCTTTTTAATTTTGAGTTTGAATTGATACTTTATAACTCGTAATTCTGAGTTTATATCTCACAGTTAAATAAAGTCAGAATTATGAGAAAGAATTTGCAGTTAATTTTTTTATTGCGTCTTTAAATTTCACAATTTGCACTTTATAATTCACAATTCCATTTTTTTTCTTGCAATTCTGAGTTTATACCTCACAATTTTGATGAAAAATGTCAGAATATGAAGTTATACAACTTTTACACTAAAAAAATGTAAAAGTTGTAAGTTTATATTTTACAATTCTTAAAAATAACTTTTTTTCTTCTTGTAATTGTGAATTTAAAATTGCGAGATAGTCGCAGTAAACGTTTTTAATCAAAAGTTTAAATCTCACAATTTCCGGCTTTTTTCTTGCAATTGTAAGTTTACTAAAAAATCAGAATTGCAAAAAGAAAAAAGTGAGCTTTTTGATTGTGTTTGATTTGATGCTTTATAACTCATAATCATGAGTTTATATATCACAATTGAAATAAAGTTATGAGTTTATATCTCACAGTTCTGACTTTTTTTTCTTGATTTAGGAAATCATGAGATATGTAATAATCAAATAACCGAAAGCAAAACATTGTGACACATGATGACAATGGGGAAAATGTGGTTAAAGGGTTAGTTCACCCAAAAATGAAAATTCTGTCAGTATTTACTCACCCTCATGTTGTTCCAAACCTCTATGTGTTTATTTGTTCTGCTGAACACAAATGAAGATTTTTGGAAGAATGTTTTAATCAAACAGATCCCATTCCCCATTGACTACCATAGTAAAAAATACATACTATGGTAGTCAATGGGGAATGAGATCTGTTTGATTAAAACTTTCTTCCAAATATCTTCCTTTGTGTTCAGCAGAACAAATAAACACATAGTGGTTTGGACTTTGGAACAACATGAGGGTGAGTAAATACTGACAGAATTTTCATTTTTGGGTGAACTAACCCTTTAATTGCCTTTTAAAATGTCTCAATGCAAAATATCTAAAATAGGTTTTATTATGCAAAACATAATTTGTTGTTTCTCAGTGTTTTGTGGTAAAGATGCACAGTTTTTCTCTGTAGGGTGAGGATCTGTCACAGTGTCAGTGTGATGACAGGGCCATCTAGAGGCCTCAAGTAAACATGCACAGAAATGGAACATCATGTTTGTCTGATCAACAGAGAACGATGTGCTGAATGATCATTTATATGCTTTTTAATGGCATTAGTTTTTTTCCAAGTGTTGTATCCTGTTATTAAATTCATCAATGCTATTAAATTGAATTATTTTATTTATATCAATAATTCAATATGTTGAATTATTATGAAGTCAGCAGTACAATTAAGGAAACGATACACTGAAACACATTTCAAAGTTGTTGGTTTGGTCTTTTCAGGAAGTCTCTGACATTTCAGAGAGAAATTGTCATTCACAGGAGGAGCCCTTACCATAATTAATAGCCAGCATCGCAAATGATGCTAATGGATATTTAAACGAGCACTTACTGCTGCTTTGCGGGACAGAGATGGGCAATTAGCTGTGTGTGTGAGAGAGAGAGAGAGAGAGAGAGTGAGAGAGAGAGAGAGTCTGTGTGTGTGTGTGTGAGAGAGAGAGAGAGAGCGAGAGAGAGAGAGAGAGAGAGAGAGTGTGTGTGTGTGTGTGTGTGTGTGTGTGTGTGTGTGAGAGAGAGAGAAATAATACTAATATAGTGTTATTGTCTGCAGGTATTTGGTGTTCTACTGTCCTCTGGATGCCGTTTACTCACTGTTGTGTGTGTGTGTGTGAGCGAGAGAGAGAGAGAGTGTGTGAGATAATACTAAAATAGTGTGTATTGCTTGCAGGTATCTGGTGTTCTACTGTCCTCTGGATGCCGTTTACTCGCTGGCGTCGGTCTGGCCCATTCGACTGGTCTTGACGGGGATGAAGGAAGTGACACGTACGTGGAAGGTTGTGGGCGGAGTAACTCAAGCAGGCAGGAAGTACAAAGATGGTCTGTTCGTGATGATCGCAGTGGGTTGGGCCAAAGGTGTGTGTTTACCATGTGCTCTGGAGTCTAATTACACTCATCCATCTTTGTGCGGTTTTCAATCTTTTTTTTTTTTTTTTTCGGATTTCGAGCGCTTTGTTGCATCAGGATGTGACAGTATTCTTGGCTTGACATTTTAATGTTTAAAAGCTCAAGGTTATTTTTCAGAATTTCATCACACTCATTATTAAACCCATGATGCATTTCACCCCGCCGTCCTTCAATTACACAGAGAAAAGGTTTGAAATATCAAGAGGTCGAGGTGACTGTAATTACGATCGGCGCTGAAATGATAAAAGTTTATGAGAGGAAACGCATCAGCCAGCGGAGCGGCAGAACCGAACAAGTCCGTGAATGAACAATTCACTGAATTATCACACTTCTGCAAATTTGGAAAAAAGGCATGATGTTTCATAATTTGATTCCAGCTAACCAACATATGTTTTAAGATATTCTTGCTAACCTCCACTTTAAGTTATGAAACCTTTTTTCTGAATGTTCTGTGAACATTCACAATGAGTCATTCTTCAAACATGAGTTTGATAAAATTGAGACAAGAATGCCATATATCTATATAGAACCCCATTTATTGTTATGGCAGCCAGGAAAATAATCACTGTGAACTGGATGAAGGTGCATGTACCCACTGTGACAGAATGGACACATAAACTGAAACAGATATACATATTTGAGAAGATGACTGCGGATTTGCAGTTTAAGGGTGTATTCACACCTGCCTTGTTTGGTTCGATTGAATCGAACTCTAGTTCGTTTGCCCCCTTGGTGCGGACCTTTTGAGCAGGTGTGAATACAGCAATCGAACTCGGGTGCGGACCAAACAACCGAACCGAGACCCAGCTGAAGAGGTGGTCTCGGTACGGTTCCAAACGAACTCTGGTACGGTTCGTTTACGGTGTGAACATGAACCGACCCAATTGCAAGAAAGCACTGCGTCGAAAGAGAATATTGCGCGTCTTTCTGCACGTCTTTCTGCGCGTCGTGTGTGAATGTCTAATCGCGCAAAGATGCAAAAAAAATATCATTTGCAGTTCATAAAGCATTTGCAGTTCACCACCTTTTGATGGTGGTTGACGAGTTTCCCCCTTAAGCCTAGTTCACACTACATGATTTTAAAATGTTGGGCTGAACTGTGCAGTTCACATTACATGACTTGCTCTCAGTGAAATCATGAGTGTTCAAGTTGTTTAGCTTTTCACACCACACAACACAACGTGATTGATCCACAACAGGAGGTAACTCACTACACGAGTTAACAACGCACTGCATAGAGATACAACCACGATCGGATGATAAGAGCATATCATTTGTGACTCAATGAGAGCTGTTTTTAGTACTATAGTACGGTCTAAATCCTGAAAATAATCAAACAAATAACGAGTTGACAACAACACGATTCTATCTGGTCTAAAAACCATGTTTTGTAACGAAAAACCACGCAATAAAACGAACCAGAAATGACGCGAAACTACAGAGAAGAACATAACACGCGAATATGGACGTCAGACAGAAACTACTGCTGCACACTGTTTGCTCGACGATCTGCTCTGAGAAAAAAAATGCAAAAAAGAAAAAGTAAGATTTACCTGGTGTCCTCAACCCATGCGTTGCTATGATTGGCTGTACTCATGACATCACTGAGATTGAGTCGCGCGACTGCTCGAGATATCTAGCAGGCTAGATATTTTTCTGAGCTCGGTGACCTGTCTGCGAGCTGTCTGCGAGCTGTCTTTGATGCGTTGTTGGCTCTTTCACACTAACGGATTGGCGAGCGTTAATCGTCCGCTAATCGCCCGCGATTTGCACGCGATAACACCCTGACTTGTCGGCGACTCAACGATTTGCAAATCGGGCTTAAATCGGGCTTAAAATCACGTAGTGTGAACTAGGCTTTAAAGCGAGTGCCTAGAAAAATTCTATATAAATGTAATGAATTATTATTATTATTATTATTAATGTAAGGATAGTTACAATACAAGGATGATGATGCGTTAATTTACGTTAAACTGGACAAACTTAATCGCAAGCGTTAACATTGACAGCACTTGTTAGTACACAATAAGAATTTCATTATTTGAATAGCCCCTCTCTATGAATGAAAACTTTATACCTTATCCGTCTTCTGTGAAGTGCCACTTGTAACGCAAAGTTGAGATGTTGCCCAGAGATAAAAAAAACAGAAGGTGGTCGAATGAAAAGATGCACGAGAGACGAGAGTTGTCGTATTTCCCCGCGTTTATAGAGACACTCAAACGTTACACTCGTCGTCTTCTCAAAATCCGAATTACAACTTCGTATAGATGACATTGTATCATATGATACTCATTAGTTTCTTCATATTGCGTTTGTACAGAATTAACACAAAATTAAAGGTTCTTTAAAATTGTGTCTAGAACCCCATTCAATCTTTTTTAGCATAAAGGTTCTTTAGAATTGAGTCAAGAACCCTAAAGTTCTACATACAACCCCATTTAACCTTTTTTTTTTGCCATTTAATGTTCTTTAAAATTGAATCAAGAACCCTAAAGTTCTATATAGAACCACATTAAAACTCTTTGGCATAAATGGTTCTTTAAAATTGATACAAGAACCACATTAAACATTTTGGCTTGAAAGGTTCTTTAAAAATGAGACAGGAATCCTAGAGTTCTATACGGAACCACATTGAGCCTTTTTGGCTAAAAAGGTTCAATTAAAATTGAGTCAAAAATCCTGGCATAAAAGGTTCTTTCAAATGATTTAAGAACCCTAGAGTTCTATAAAGAATCTCACTGGACCTTTTTGTGCCTGTAGGTGCGGGCGGAGGCCTCATCAGTAACTTTGAGCAGCTTGTTCGAGGCATCTGGAAGCCTGAAACCAATGAACTACTGAAGATGTCATAGTAAGAGTCTCAAATGCTTCATGAAACTCCTGAAACACATGTGGTCTCACTGTGTGACTGTCTGAAACGCTGCAGGATCTGTTCCTCTTCACTAACGTCACTTCTTTATGTTTGAAACTCAGTTTGTCTTTGAATCAACCTGTGATTTGCTGATTTGTAGAGCATGTACAAAATTAAGTCAGGTGTACTTCAGATATGTCTGAGTTTGTGAATGTGCATTTTAAAAATAGAGTCTAATTTAAATTTAAGTTCATAAGCTTGTGATTTGATCCTAATTCGGTTCAGTTTGATTAAAAATCAAGAACCCAAGAGTTCTATATAGAACCCCATTGGACCTTTTAGGCATAAAGGTTCTTTAAAATTGAGCCAAGAACCCTACAGTTCTATAGACGAATCCGGCGAAACTAGCGGAAGTAAGCGGGCGCCATTACTGAGCTGTTGCTGGGTAGCGTTGCGCCATTGCCTCCTATTGTTTTAGTTGCAACTTGCGTCCACTGGAATAAACAGCCCGCGATTTACGACTTTCACTGACGTTAAAACGTTAGCCCTTGTATAATGTCGAGTGGGTAAACAGTTTCCGTTATAAATTGTTTCAATGGTGGCAGTAAAATTTCAATTTTGAAGAGAAAACATTGTGAATACCCCGGGTCGACTGCCCCTGTCTGGTGCCGTACGGTTTACACAGATTTCCTGGGCGAGTACAAGACGCGGACATTCGCGTATAATAACAATTATTTAATGACATAAGTAAAAAAAAATTATAAATATGTGATATAGTGATCAGCAAAATCTCCTCTCTTGCTATTTTTTCTATTCAATTAAAATGCTATGGACATTAAATGGCTTTCCTGAGCTAATAACGTTATGTGACATAATTGTTCTCCTGCTGTTATATTGACCTCTTTCCATGGTTTAAAAACACTAATTGGTCGATATTATGCATACTTTCTAGCTGTAACGTTACCTTACCCTTGCCCGTTGCAATGTGAAAATGAGATAAATAATGGAAAAACATGAATTTGTTTATTTGATTTCATTCATTTATTTATTGTTGCCAAATGGACAGATCTTTTTATAGTTTCCACGTTAGCAAACGTTAGCCTAGCTAGCTTGCCAAGCTATTTTCATAAATAATCTGTAAGATCGTTTGTACCTTCATCTGTGACTGGAGGCCACTGTCTAACATCATCAACCCAACAAGTCATTCTGCCTGGTTGTAGCTGTCGTCGAGGGTGCGTTCGCGTTATCACCGAGGTTTGTTTACATACCGGTGCACATGTCTATGCCGGTGTAACAGCTCAGTAATGGCGTCGCCACAAGATGGCAGCCTACACAGAACGCTCGTCGGATTTGTCTATATAGAACCCCATTGGACCCTTTTGGCATAAAGGTTCTTTAAAGTGTAGTCAAGAACCATGGAGTTCTTTAAAGAACCGTAATGGACCTTTTTGGCATAAAAGTTCCTTAAAATTGAGTCTAGAACCCTAGAGTTCTTTATAATGGAGTCAAGAACCCTAGAGTTCTTTTATTATAGAACCACATTGGACCTTTTTGGCATAAAGGTTCTTTAAAATGGAGTCAAGAATCCAAGAGTTCTTTATAGAATCTATTTTAAACTTTTTTTGCTTTAAGGTTCTTTAAAATTGAGTCAAGAACCCTAGAATTGAATCATTTGGATACATGTATCAGGTACGGTACATTTTCTCAAAGAAAAAAAATCTCTCTGAACTAATGATGGCTGGTGCTACACATAATGTCACACAGCTCAGACTAAAAGATGAATTCATCAAAATGAGAATCGATATTTCTAACCAAGTCCTAGTCTACTGTAAATGTCTTTTAAGTTCTCCAACATGACAGACAGATGTTAACCGTCTCATAAAGGAAATTCACTATTTCTCTGTTAATTAATTTTTTAATAGTAGTTTGAAGTGTTTTGCATTATTGATGGAGTTTTTGATGACTGGCGTTGGAGTCTCTCTAGTGCCTTTTGTTCGTTGTGCGTTTCGTGTCCAGAGTCTCTTTCTTTCTGAATAATAGCGTTCGGTGGAGTAATTGGCTTCTGGATTGATTTCCTCTCGTCTTCAGCCGACACTTGTTGTCATGGTTTTTGTGCGAGTGGCATTTAAAAAGGTTTGTGTGGAAGAACGCAGGAGAGTAAAGCGTCACTCTGAAGACCAGAGGGATTTCACCGGGTTTATGTGCAGAAGAAAAGAATCATCTTATTTTGATCAGAAAAACAAAATCTACTTGCAGAGTCCGTTATGGGACATGAAAAATAAGAATTTCATTTGTAGTATTATAGATACTAGGCCTACCTGTCAAGAGTTTCGGATCGGTAAGATTTGTTATGTTTTTAAAAGACGTCTCTTCTGCTCACCATGGCTGCATTTATTTGATCAAAAATATGGTAAATAAAGTATGAAATATTATTACAATGTAAAACACCTGTTTTCTAAGTGAATTTATAGGAAAGTGTAATTTATTCCTGTGATCAAAGCTGAAATTTCAGCGTCATTACTCCATCCTTCAGTGTCGCATGATCTTTCAGAAATCACGCTAATATGGTGATCTGATGCTGTTTTCAACACTGATAATAATAATTAATGTTTCTTGAGCATCAAATCCTCATATTAGAGTGATTTCCAAAGGATCATGTGACACTGAAGACTGGAGTAATGATACTGAAAATACAGCTTTAATCACAGGAATAAATTACACTTTACAATGTATTAAAATAAAAAACAGTTATTTTAAATTGTCATAAAATTTACCAATATTACTGTTTTTTTTTTTGTTATAACTGTGATTTTTATGTAAATAAATGCAGCCTCTGTGAGCAGAAGAGACTTAAAAACATTAAAAATCTTACCGATCCAAACCTTTTGTGTGTACACACACACACACACACACACACACACACAATTTTCCTAGGCCGGTCACTGTTGGCCACTGCTGTTTCAGAGTGACGTCAAACTCGACACATTGATGTTGAATGTGGGTCGCAGACATGTGTTCATTATGTGTTTTAGAATCTCAGAGCGATTTAAGGCCCACTGAACTCCTTGACCCTGTGTGAACTTTGACTTGTGTGTGTGTGTGTGTGTGTAGCCCGACCAAGGTCACCCTGCTGGGATCGGTTCTGTTCTCGCTCCAGCAGTGTCGCTTTCTCCCGATGCAAACACACCACCTGATCTTCATCTACACAATCTTCATCGTCACCAATAAGGTTTGTTGTTTTTGTCGTTTTGTTTCAGAGTGAAATTAAACATCTCTGAGTGTCATGAATCTAATGCATTAATAATATGTTATTATAATATAATATTTGCATTAATAATAGAGTTTTTCATTTAAATTTGAGAGCCTTGGAGAGCAGAATAGACTTAACATTGTAATTGTAATAATATTTCAAGTCAAGTCACATTTATTTATATAGCGCTTTTCACAATACAGATTGTATCAAAGCAGCTTCACAGTGATATTTCACAATATTACTGTTTTTTTTTTTTTGTTGTATTTTTAATCGAATAAATGCAGCCTTGGTGAGCATAAGAAACTTCTTTTAAAAACATTAAAAATCTTACAGATCAAAAAGTTTGATTTGCCAGCACTAAATAAAACCCATGCAAAAGCAAGCTCTGCATGAGAAACTATCCCACAATGCACTGCACACAACCTATGACTACTAGTTTTGTTGAGTATTTGATTAGAGTGAAATGCAGAATAGCATCAGAAAAGAAAAATACCTGCATTTATAATAGGAAGCCATTTACTTAATCAAACATGATCATGTGACTTTTAATTTGAACATACTATATCTTAAAACATTATTGGCAATGCATTCGTGGCTCGTTTTCAAGCGAAACGAGGCTGATGTTTGATTGATAGTGTTTTAATTAGACAGACGTTTGGGTGAATGTAACGAGCGAGCTGCTAAGCTCACGAACCGTGTTCCTCTCGTCTCTTTGCCCTTCAGTAGTGATGATGATCCGTAGCTGTCCTGATGCTCTTGCACGTTTTTTGCATCATTTTCATGTAATTGCATCATTCTGCTTTAAAAAAGAGTGAAGTTCTTCAGCGAGACTGACGGCAGATCTTGAGTTCTTCTGTGAGCTCGGAAAAGTCCTCTCGCTCTCTCACCATTTGACCTTCCAGATCTTTGTTTCACATATAGAAATATTACTATATAGACCCTTATCACACTTCCACATTCGAAACAAAGAAGAACTGTGTCATAATATTCCGAATCCAACGCATATTTCGTGATTTACAGGGGAGCGCACAAGTGTGTGTGTGTGTGTGTGTGTGTGCAATACGTCAGAATCTTATCACCTTATTTAATTGCAGAACTAGAATGCAAACAACGTATCAGATTAAAGAACATTAGAATTAGAAAAATATTAAAATATGAATTAAGACTAAAGTCTATTGTATAAAGTTTAACTGGGGGATTAAATTAAACCTTGGTGAAAACATATTGAATTAAACAATAATGTTCGCACTTACTTTATGATGCTATCATCAAATTGAAGTTGTTTAAATAAGGGATTATTTTTTAACCCATAGTTGATCATTAAAAAATACCTACTGTACAGTATGCATGTGTTCATAATATGATCTGATCTCTGTGGTTTCAGATGCGGATGATGATTATGGGTTCTTCATCGTATCCATTCTCATCGCTGGAGTCTGTCCTCTACAAGACTCTGTTTGTTCGACCCCTGACCTTTTCACCCCTGATTGACTCGACCCAGGGTTCAGATCAAACCTTGAAAAACAGCTCGATTTCCGAACAGAAGAGCAATAACACGGACCAAAGAAACCCGGAAGAGGCCAAAAACGCCAAAAAGAAAGATTGAGGATCATTGAAAGATTGAGAACTCATAAAAGATTGAGGACGACTGAAAGATTGAGGACGAATGAAAGATTGAGGACGAATGAAAGATTGAGGACGAATGAAAGATTGAGGACGAATGAAAGATTGAGGACGAATGAAAGATTGAGGACGAATGAAAGATTTAGGACGAATGAAAGATTTAGGACGAATGAAAGATTGAGAACTCATAAAAGATTGAGGACGACTAAAAGATTGAGGACAACTGAAAGATTGAGGACGACTGAAAGATTGAGGATGAATGAAAGATTTAGGACGAATGAAAGATTGAGAACAAAAGAAAGTGAGGACGACTGAAAGATTGAGGACGAATGAAAGATTGAGTACTCCTAAAAGATTGAGGACGACTGAAAGATTGAAGACAAAAGAAAGACTGGAGACAAATGAAAGATTGAGGACAACTGAAAGATTGAGGACGACTGAAAGATTGAGGACGACTGAAAGATTGAGGACGACTGAAAGATTGAGTACTCAAAAGATTGAGGACGACTGAAAGATTGAGAACGAAAGAAAGTGAGGACGACTGAAAGATTGAGGACGAATGAAAGATTGAGTACTCATAAAAGATTGAGGACGACTGAAAGATTGAGAACGAAAGAAAGTGAGGACGACTGAAAGATTGAGGACGAATGAAAGATTGAGTACTCATAAAAGATTGAGGACGACTGAAAGATTGAAGACAAAAGAAAGACTGGAGACAAATGAAAGATTGAGGACGACTGAAAGATTGAGGACGACTGAAAGATTGAGGACGACTGAAAGATTGAGGACAAAAGAAAGACTGGAGACAAATGAAAGATTGAGGACGAATGAAAGTTTGAGGACGAATGAAAGATTGAGGACGAATGAAAGATTGTGGACGAAAGAAAGTGAGGACGAATGAAAGATTGAGGACGACTGAAAGATTGAGGACGAAAGAAAGACTGGGGAAGAAAGAAAGATTGCGGACGAAAGAAATTGAGGAAGAATGAAAGTAAGACGGTTTTCCTGTGTGTGAATTTTCTATACGATTCCTGCTGATGATTTAAAAAAAATGCACGAATGCTCTTTTTATCGGAATGCCTTGTACATATTTGCTATTCTGAACTGCTTCACAGAAAATTCTATTCTATTCTATTCTGCAATGACAATGATAATATATTTTATATAATTTATAATGCATTTATGAATGCAATCACTCGAAGTGGAATGCTGGAACATGTTTTACTGTATGTTTTTAATGCAGAATTAATATAATTCACTGGTTCTGACTCGTCTGTTTGTTGTATGTGAGAAAAACATCAACATCGATCTGCAAAAAACGAAGAATAATGAGTTATAATAATAATGGTTAACAGGGTGAAAATGCTCTTTAATTGATGTTTAAGTGATTTAAGTGAATGTCCATGACTGGAGCTGAACTAATGAATGCAACTTTACATAGATGAGCCTAAAACATAATTCTGTCACGTTTGTCCCCAGATATCAAAAATATGTTCTTTGCAAAACCAAACAAAATTGGAAAAATAATGACTTTGATCAAACAGGTCTAGCCTCTCCCCCCTCATAATCAAATGTGTAATTCTACTAGTAGTGCAGAATTGAAGCACTTCTTCACTTTTATTCAGTTCATCAGAATGAATCAGTTTATTTCTAGAGGAAAGTTTATGGCTGGAGCTGAAATAATGGATGCAACTTTACACAAGTTTTGCTATTGTTCATATTAAGTTATGAAAACATTATTTCTGAGTGTTCTCTGAACATTTATGGAACATTCCATTGTATTATTTTTAAAATATTATGGAAAATGTTAAATTTGTGAACGTTCTGAAACAAGCAGCAACATTTAAAAAAAAAAAAAGGATTTAAATTGGAACAAACAAAAAAGATTCACAAATGTAGTTTTATATGAATCTCCAAACAAACGCAGCTCGTTATTTCAAATGACGTGCTTTGCAGAAATTGGATTTGTGTTTTATTGTATCCGTCTGATTTATGTAATGGAATATGACTCTATGGAATATGTATTCCAGACCGCAGGAAGTGATTTTCATAATCATGCTTTAGGTTTGTTAATGAGCGATCAGCGGTACATAATCTCATTTACTGGTGTGAACGAGCAATCAACATCTCAATTATTCCCGCCTAATATCGTCAAGGATTTCCAAACGGCCCAAGGCGAGAATTAGCTCTGCCAGGAATGAGTGTTGCCGTGCCAACAGCATTCTGATGGAAAGAGCGGGAGATTTCCTTCTGTTGTCCTCTATGATGTCATCATGTGCCACACGCTGGATAAGGGCCTTTTACACTCCACTGCGCTACCTTTCCACTGTTGTAAACGTCGCTAAACTGACGTCTTCAGCCTTTGCATTCGCGTCTTATGAACAACACGACATTCTAAGAACTAACTAGATGAGTTAAGTTTGTGATTTTTCTCAGAGAAAGTTGAAAAATGTAAGTCATGTTACTAGCATGATTTAAAGAGCAACATGCAGGTTGAATTTATTTCTGAATTAATACTTTAAATAGTCTGCAGAGGTCTTTTAAAAACATATGTAAAAATTACTAATGAAATCTCATTTGATTTAGAGATTTTGATGAAAATGCGCTAGGTTCTGGAATACGCCTTTCCCGCTAGCAACGCGTCATATGACGTAGCCCGAGACAAATAAAAGAGCTTGCGGTCCGCTTTCTCATTGTTGGGTGTTGATGTTGTTAGAGCAGTAGTGAGAGACAGAGAGTTTTAGATCGAGTTTTAGAGAAGCCATAATGGTAAATTATTGTGTTTGTGCTAGTTGCACGAATTCCAGCCTGTCAGGACATCATATCCATCATTTTCCTTCTAGGAAAAACAAGGCTTTTCGGTCTTGGGTGCGTTTTGTGCAGGTGAAGAGAGCAGACTTCACTGCCGCGTCTGTTACCACACACTCGGTCGTTTGTGGCGCACATTTCACTCGCTTTAAATGGTATCACTAACTGCAGTTAAAAAGCATTATTTATTTGTTGTTATGGCATGGTCATTACCCAGACAGCAAACTGACATTGAATCAACGTGGAAACGACGTCTCTCATGACATTGAAACAACGTTGATTTTGCTCATCGAATTAACGTTGAACCAACGTCAGACGCGGCATTCTTCAAAGCTAATTGAAAATCGAAAATTGGTTTGCTTTCATAACGTTGAAACAACGCATTGATTTCAAGTTGATTTTCCGTAAGTTTTGAAAGAATGACGCGTCTGACGTTGGTTCAACGTTAATTCGATGAGCAAAACAATGTCAGATCAACGTTGTTTCGATGTCATATTTCCACGTTGATTTAATGTCAGTTTGCTATCTGGGTCGTCAATGTAGATATATCTATATTAGTCAATGTAGATCCCAGATAGCAAACTGACATTGAATCAACGTGGAAACATGACATCGAAACAACGTTGATCTGACATTGTTTGCTCATCGAATTAACGTTGAACCAAGGTCAGGCGCGTCATTCTTTCAAAACTAACGGAAAATCAACTTGAAATCAACATTGTTTCAACGTTATGAAAGCAAACCAATTTTCGATTTTCATTTAGCTTTGAAGAATGCCGCGTCTGACGTTGGTTCAACGTTAATTCGATGAGCAAAACAATGCCAGATCAACGTTGTTTCGATGTCATGAGAGACATCGTTTCCACGTTGATTCAATGTCAGTTTGCTGTCTGTGTAGTGCTAACCAGCTTGGATGGACTGCATTTTCACTGTCAGCGTAGAATATGAGAAGACAAAATGTTGCTGGCTTAAATTAAGACAATCTAAATGGATGTTTAATCAAGAACAAAGTCGAATGTATGTTTGCTAAAGTAGATTTACAAAACACCAAGGTATAGCCATACAGTAGATGAACCAGCGTTAGCCACGGCGCTAACTTACATGAACTCACCAAGTCACTTGTCCTATTCGCCACTGGTTTTCTCGACACCACAACTCTAACGTTACTTCTCTCCTCTGCCGAGTGTTCCTCCCCCGATCTCCCCCTGGCTTCTATCTCGCCTAGGAGGTTCATAATTATATGCCTGTGGTGGGCCATCATAGGCATATTCGTCAACATCGGAGAACTCGGTTTCTTCATTCACATCCATTGTAACCTGAGCCTGAACTTGAACAGACTCCCTCTGCAATCGTCACTTCCGGTTAGTGCTTTGTAGACGCGGGAGTTATTTTATCACAATTTTTCTCAAAATATCGTTAATGGCTAAACATATATTACTCCAGTTCAGAAAATCTAGTTGGTTTATCGTCAACATACACTATGCTATATGGGGTGTCCAACCTGCAAGTTGCTCTTTAAAGGGTTAGTTCACCCAAAAATGAAAATTAAGTCATTAATTACTCACCCCCATGCTGTACCAACCCCGTAAGACCTTCGTTCGTCTTCGGAACACAAATGAAGATATTTTTGATTAAATTTGAGAGCTGTATAACTACCACATTGGCTCCTAAGGGACTGCCTCTTGACGGTCCAAAAAGTCAATGAAGAAAATGTTTAAATATCCCAAGTGACTACCGTGGCTCAACTATATGTTTATCAAGCGACGCGAATACTTTTCGCGAATACTTAGATTTCCACGACGCATGCGCGAGAATTGCGATCTGAAGTAGTGCAGAGCGGCTCTGAAGTAGTGTAAGCAGATCGCAATTCTCGCGCATGCGTCGTGGAAATCTAAGGAAGTCTCGTTTCTGGCCTACAAGGAAGAAAAGAAATAGTCGAATAAACTCGTTATTTTTGTTTGTTTTTTCGCACAAAAAGTATTCGCGTCGCTTGATAAACATATAGTTGAGCCACGGTAGTCACTTGGGATATTTGAACATTTTCTTCATTGACTTTCTGGGCCGTCAAGAGGCAGTCCCTTAGGAGCCAATGTGGTAGTTATACAGCTCTCAAATTTAATAAAAAATATCTTCATTTGTGTTCCGAAGACGAACAAAGGTCTTACGGGGTTGGTACAGCATGGGGGTGAGTAATTAATGACTTAATTTTCATTTTTGGGTGAACTAACCCTTTAACGTGTTAGCATGTTTCAACATTATTACCATGCACCATGATTTATCATGTTGATAACATGATTTAATTCATTGTTAGTATGTTGTTAATATGTTAGCATGTTGTTAGTAGATTATTAATATGATTAGCATGTTGTTAGCACGTTGCAAACATGATTTAACATGTTCCAATCATGTTTTAACATGTTAGTTTGATTCAGCATGTTGCTAACATGATTTAAAATATGTTTCTAGCTTGATTTGGCACATTGCTAGCATGTTTTAACACACTGCTAGCATAAATTAACAGATAGCTGACACAAACTAGCATGCTAGCATGATTTAACACATTATTTGCTTGTTTTAACATTTAGCATAACATGATTTAGGCATTGCTTAGCATGTTTGCTAACATGCTGTTAGAATGATTGCATTTTAGTATTTTGCTTATATGATTAAACTCAATGCTAACATGAATTGGCACATTGTTAAAATGTTTTAGCATTAAAATGATTTAACATTTTGCAAGCATGATTTAACATATTGCCAACATGATTTAGCATGTTACTAAAAAATTACTGACATGATTAACATGTACACAATTTAATACATTGCTAACATGTTTAAAACACTGCATGAATTAGCACGTTGCCCTTGGATAGTCGTCAAGCTTTGCTAGTCAGATGACTTAAATATTCTATATAATTCTTATTGTGCAAAAGTCTTCACCCCTCAATGAAAGGCCTTTTCATAGTTTTGATCGTCCATTTAACGAAAATCGTACTGTACGTCGGATCAGTTGGGAAAGACCTGTGTGTCGAGTTTACAGCTCTAGCAGCAGATAATAGAGTGTAAAATAGAGTCTCAGAAGAAGGAAAAGAATCGGCTCAAATAATAGATCAGTATTTTACCTGTCAAAAACACATTTTTTTTGTTGTTCAACTGACTTGCATCTCATGTTTTTAATAGATATCTCCATATTTTCCTAGTAAATAACATTAAAAATGGCAACAAAAATATGGCACATTGTTGAAATATAGGCATTAGCTAATAATATTTATGCTCGCATTTGCCTTCATTTCCAAACAGGATGAAGCTGCAGAGGGATTTCACTGTATATTGTGCAGTTGTGTGTTGTGATGTCATCATCGCACACATTCTTAGTGATGTCATCACACGAGTCTGCTTTGAATGATGTCATGCTGCAGCACCATGTGACGTCCACCAGGGGTCCGGCCGGCTGCGTGTG